CTCCACTCTTGCTCTGAACGGGCTAATCTAATCCCTTTCTAATTCTGCCAGTCTGTGTTCTGTAGCCACGTCTTGAGGTAAGGGGTTGAACTGGATAATCTGGACATGGAAGTTGGATCAGAATGCCTGATTTTGAGCTCTGTGCTTTTCCCCATCTCCTTCAAAAAGTGCCTCTGAAGTTGATTGTGATAGGGGAATGTTGTTGGCTTTTTTTATGCTGATGTTTAAAAAGGGGAATGAATTAAAATTCTCAATTTTACAGCCTTTTAGTTAAACCATCAGAATTTCATTTGGAGTAAAATTTGAACAGTTACGGCTGCTTGTAGGAACAGAGCTCTAAATCCTGCTTTAAAAGGATGAAGAGGAGCGTTTATGCCTTATACCTTGGGATTTTAGCTGAGAAGTTCTTTGCCAGCCATCATTGGAACCAACATTGTATTCAGAGGGGACATCACATCTGACCTGCTTTGATTTTTTTTTTTTTTTTTTTTTTTTTTTTTTAAACCCCCTGGGCTGGGTTTGCTTTCCCTCCCCAGTTCTCTTATGGTTGTGATTGCCTTCAAATAAGGTAGCCAAGTCGACAGCTTTCTGGATTCCTCTGAAGTTGCAGGTAGCCACATAAAAGCAGACTGTTGCTGTGTTGTCTCTTGAGTTCATGTCAACATGTAGGAAGTAAAACTAAATAAAGCACAATTTTCATCCTTGTATTTGAGAGCAAGTGTCTTTGAAGCATGCCTCAGGGGCAGATAAACACAAAGAGTAGAAGGTGATGATGTGAACAGAAAATACCAGTAAGAAAGCTCAGCTAGTAGCTTAAATACAGCCTTACCTGCTTTCTATCTCTGCCCCTATTAACTCAACTTCGGTTGTATGTCAGAGGGCAAATAAATGCACTTCCAAAATAGCAGATCTCCAGAAGTGTGTCTGACTTACAGGAGACTAATGGGTTTCTTACGATTCTAAATTATACTTCACAGCAGTTTTATTAGTGCTTCAGAAGCCTTGAAATGCTGTTTTTATTGCGCACAGAAGTACTGAAAACATTCATCAGAACCCTTAAAGGCCTCCACGTCTTCCATTATAGCTAATCCCAGTCTATTTGCTTTTGTTATTTGACAGTGCAGGTATTTTTGATATCTAGCCCAGGGTGAGCATGTAACCATCTCCAAAACGTTGCCTGTGTCTAGACATGTTTTTATCGGTAATCCATTCTCCTTAGCTGAGCAGAAGGCAGTGTAATTTATGCATCCTGAAACAGGGAATTGGCAGTAAGGCCGTGTCTTGTAACTGAAGCCACCTAGTGTAAGGGCTGTCTGTGTGTACACAACTGGATGGAAGAGCTGTCTGCCATCGACTGGGTCCGCGGATGGTTTGAGGGGTCTATATCAAGTCCCACGTGACTGTTGGCAGAGTGAGAATAAAGCAACATTTCCAGCTTAAAAGTTGTATGTAGCAGCCCAAATAAATTCTCATATTTAGCACTGAGAGTATTACAGAGGTATAGAAGTCACCGAGATTTTTATTAGGAGTCTTCCAATATTGTTTCCATGCTAGTGAAAGTGAGGGGAGCACAGTTGTAACTCAGCTATTTCTTCTTTGTGTAATTTGGGGATAGCAGTCGCGTTAGGGTGGAGGTAGGGAGAGGAAATCTTTGCCTGCTATGACTTTGTTGTTTGAAGAGCAGTGAACTCTCTGGAAAACTTTGGAAATTGTGTTAAAGCTGCGTTTACTACACACAGAAGGGCTATTGCTGCATTTTATCCCCTCCCGCTCCCTCTTTCTGTAAATATGCTTTTGAGCAGAGCTCCCCGGTGATCCTTGACTGGGATTCCTGCCTTAATTACACCTCTTCAGCCCTTGCGTTTGTACTGCTGTAGCACACTGTTGTATGTACGACAGAATTGGCTGGGTTTCAATTATGTGAGGAAGTGTTTTAACCGCAAAGCCCACTGTGATTTGCCAGGATCAGTTCAAACAGTTGTATGCGTTGAGCCTCCAGGATGTTGGTACCCTCTGTGGGGGTGAAGAGGAATGAAGCTTTGATGTAGCTGGTGTGAGATTAGCCTAGAAAATGATGGAAAATGGGGTGGGGGTCTGTGGGTGAGAGGGAAAGTCTGCCTGACTGCTACTCTTTCATATTAGTAATAACGTAAAAACACTGGAAATTATGGGTTGTGATGCAATTAATTATTCAGGGCTGTGCTACACTGTGTGAGAAATGGTTTAATCTGCCTATGTTACACATCCACTAGCTGATGGAGGTGTTTAATTGCATAGACCAGGTTTGTGATTATTTATTTTCCCTCTTTGTGCACCAAAGCATATGACAGACTTCAGCTTTTTTTTTTTTCTTTCTTCAAACCGTGCTTCCCAGCCCAGGGAGCAGACTGTAGTAATGAAAGAGAGAGGAAGTTATTGGAAAAATAATAAAATAGTAACTAAGTGTCACGGAATGGCTGTAATATGCTGTAGTACAGAGCTGCTCAAATAGCAGAGATCTGATCCAGGTCTATGCTCTTAAATAAACTTGGTCCGGACTTTGTCTCACCATCTCCTGAATTCCAGTGGGGTACACCAGTATGTATAAAATATGCAGTGTTTGTGTATATTTCTTGTACTAATCTGTTGATCTCCCAGGGAGCTGGTTCAAAATATTTTGAGTGGTTTAGCTAAGAAAAGATAAAAACAGCTCCTCTAGATAATTTTTGAGGATGGTGGATTTGGGGCATGTCCGGCTGATGGGATGCTTAACCAGTCAGTGTCCTGCTTGCTTCTTTCCATCTGTGTTTCTTCTGGTGCCATTTGTGCATGTGTGGTTTTTTTCATTGTCAGAGAGAGAAGTTAGGCACCTGGATTTGTTTGCAAGTTTAAAGAAAAAAAAAAAACAAAAAACAAAACTTTAAATTAAAGCTTTAGGCAGAATGCTAATTTCAGGCTCAGAGACCAAGATTGTGTCAGGTTTATGGATCCCTTAACTAGGGGTCTGAGCAAGTCCAAAATGATCCTAGGGTAAGCAAATGAGTTCAAAACTCTGAGCTCAGCGAATTTCAGAAAGGTTATGTGGATCAAAAATCTTGCACTTAAAATTATAGACAGCAGCTCAGAGCTTCCCAACCAGCTGGGTTTTCTGCAAGGAGTCTGACAGAAGGCACAAACCAGTCACTGAGTCTGAGCTGTGTTATCCAGGGCCCCAGTTCCCATCTATCCCCTGGTAGAAATCTGAAGCAGGGAGGAAAACAGAACATTTTTGTTGTCAGCTTTGTCTTAGGGTGTTTCTTTTTTTTTTTTATTGTGAAGCAATCTAACTAGGAGGAATTAGAAAACTCTAAAGGTGCTGATTTATTTCCTTTTTGAAAAATAGCTTGACACAAGCAAGTGTTTGCAAGGAAGGGAGCTGAAGCTGTCGGAGCAAGCAGAGGATATTATTTCAGCTTGTATTTATTTTCATGGAGTGGTTTTCAGTCAATGAGTAAGCTATGCTGAGATGAATAGCCTGCTCCCCAGCTCTGCAAATATCCTTTCCTGTTTAGAAGGATTCTTCTTTAATCTGCTTATTGGAGTTTCCTGGAAAGTTGGTGCCTTTTCTGTGGAAGCAGAAAGAGGAACAAATTGTGTTTGATTCCTCAAATGCACCTACTCCCTGAAAAGCAGTACTAAAGTGGATAAATCAACATTAGCATGTTTCTTTGTAGCTGTGATTGCCAGCTAAACCCTTGCCAAGGGGAAAGCTGTGTGCCTTTACGCTATACTCAGTCACAAGCAGAGCTTTGTATATGAGCAGGAGAAGAATATGCTGTGTCTGTGGAGTGTCCTAGACGTGGGTGAATCCTCCTCAGAGCTTTCTCTTGTAGTTTGGTACCAGGGAGGCCTTGTCCGAAGAGGGAGGAAAGGATCAGGGTGTGAAGGGCCCTTGCTGTTCTCCTTGTGTGTTTGGGCTTATGGGACTTGGCGGAGTCTGTGTCATGGGGAGAGTGAGCAGTG